AAAAAAAAAAAAGTGTGCTACTTAATACAGCACTACCCCTGATGGGTACACCGCACACTATCTAGGTGAGGGGTAAGATGCTGGCTGGCACTGTGGCTCATGCCTGTAATCCTAGCATGCTGGGAGGCCGAGACGGGTGGACTGCTTGAGCTTTCAAGTTCGAGACTAGCCTGAGCAAAAGTGAGATCACAGTCTCTACTAAAAATAGAAAAACTGAGGCAAAAGGATCACTTAAGCCCAAGAGTTTGAGGTTGCAGTGAGCTATGACACCACGACTCTCTATCCTGGGTGACAACGTGAGACTTTGTCTCAAAATATAAAATAAAATAAAAATAGAGCTATAGTCCCAGATACTGCTCAAGAGTGAAATTGCTTGGTGTATAAAACCAGAAATCATGTACCCCATGATTGCATTAATGTACACAGCTATGATTTAATAAAAAAAGTTTGAGGCTCGGCGCCTGTGGCTCAAGCAGCCAAGGCGCCAGCCACATACACCTGAGCTGGAGGGTTCGAATCCAGCCCGGGCCCACCAAACAATGACGGTTGCAACCAAAAAAATAGCCGGGCGTTGTGGTGGGCCCTTGTAGTCCCAGATGCTCAGGAGGCTGAGGCAGGAGAATCACCTAAGCCCAAGAGTTGGAGGTTGCTGTGAGCTGGGACACCACAGCACTCTACCAAGGGCGTTAATATGAGACTGTTTCTACAAAAAAAACCCCAAAAAACAAAAAACAGGGTGGCACCTGTGGCTCTAAGGAGTAGGGCGCCGGCCCCATATACCAGAGGTAGTGGGTTCAAACTCGGCCCCAGTCAAAAACTGCAAAATAAATGACTGACTGAACTGGATGAAATTGGTAATGGAAAGCTATTTTAGACTCTTTGCAAGCTTAAGAGATGAGAATAAACAACTAAATGGGCCGGTGACTCAGCCTGTAATCCTAGCATTTCGGGAAGCCCAGGCAGGAGGATTGCTTGAGCTCAGGAGTTGGAGACCAAAATGAGACCCTATCTCTACAAAAAATACTGCAAATAGAAAAATTAGTCCCAGTTGCTTGGAAGGCAGAGGCAGGAGACTGCTTGAGCTCAAGTTTGAGGTCACCTAAACTAGGTTGAGGCCATGGCACTCAAGCCCAAGTAACAGAGTGAGACCCTGTCTCAAAAAAAGAATTAAATGGATATTCATATAAATAAATTTATAATTGTAATTTTAAGTAAAAAATATTATAAGAATCAGTCTCCTTATGTTGCTACTGATATTACAGGATTCCACCACTCAGGGCTAGACAGGGAGTCCCCCATTCTCTAGGCCCAGAGCTCAGAGGTCAGACCCCCATTTCCAGGCACAAGCAGACTGCCTTCCAGTGACGGTTTTTTTTTGAGTGGCTCCACCTTGGGTAAGACCTCACACCCTAATCCCTTCTCAGGACAAAGACTGTAAAGGACAGGATAACTATATTCATTCATTTGTTAATGCACCCATTTCCACCTACCAACTGCCAACCAGGTTTAATTCTCTAGACCTAATTCCCCTAGACAAAGTCGATGTGGAGACTCCCGGGAGAGCTCTTCAGTTCTTCTCCCCTTCCAGAAGCTCTGGTGCTTTTTACTTTTCTATATTCCTATCTTACCACTGATCTGTGGTCCGTAGATTCATTCTTCAAATTCCGGAGACCAAGGACCTACTGAAGAGTGAAATTCTCCTATGACTACTATACATTACAATTGTTCATTATGAATATTTATACAGCTTTTCATTTGATCAAAGCTCCAAATGAGCAATTTTTTTTCTTCCATTTTTTTT